CGTGGAACAGCTAGTAGTTTCGAACTGCTGACCTTGCGGTTCGCAGCCCGATTCATAACCACTACGCTACCAGAGCTCCTTGAGCTTCCCTGTAGGTGCATGGATATTATCCTATCACAGACAGCGTTGTACCTCATGACTGATCTGGATATGTTCTTTTAAACAATGAATGCAACACCATTCCTCTTCTTCTATTTGTCATTCCCGGCATAGTAAACCATGTGGTCATCAGATTCAAAATGGCCAATACCAGTCCATTTCAACTCACTAATGCCTAAGATATCGATGTTTATGCATTCTATTTAATTTTTGACAACTTCCAATTTACCCAGCTTCATACTTTGTACATTCCATTTTCCGATTTTCAATGGATGTTTACAGATGTTTCTCTTCATTTTGAGTTGTGCCCCATCAGCAAATGAAGGTCCTGCAGGCTTTTCTCCCACAGGCTTTCCTCCATTCACCTTATCACGTCAACTCTACTTTGAGGAGGCAGCTCTTCCCCAGTTGCATTTTGAATGCCTTCCAACCTGAGGGGCTCATTTCTGGCACTATATCAGACAATATTTCTCTGCTATTCATAAGGTTTTCAGTGACTAAATATTAGCAAGTAGTTCGTCACTCTTTCTTCCTAGTCTGTCTTTGTCTGGAAGCTCATCTGAATCCTGTCCACCGTGGGTGACCCTGCTGGTATTTAAAGCACTGGTGGCATAGCTTTCAGAATCACAGCAATTCACAAGCCACCACAGTACGACAAACTGACAGATGAGTGGTGGTTAGGAAGGGTTAGAGTCATGAAAACACCACTTTCAGAAGTATGTAGACCTTGATGGAGGATATATTAAGAAACAACAGTTTTCCATTTTGATATTTTTGTTTAATAAAGGTTTCAATGATTTTGTAGCAATACTTTTGGAATTAACCTTGTGTGTTGAAGAGCAAAGATGTCAGCTTGAGGACTAATGTGCGCCTGACCCAAGCCATAGTATTTTCAATAACCTCATATGCATGTGAAAGTTGGACAGTGAATAAGGAAGACCGTAGTAGAGTTGATGCTTTTGAGTTATGGTGTTGGAGGAGAATATTGAAAGTGTCATGGGCTGCCAAAAGAACTAACAGATCTGTGTTGGAAGAAGTGCAGCAAGAGTGCTCCTTGGAGGCCAAGATGGCCAAATTCTGTCTCTCATACTTAGGATATATTGTCAAGAGGGACCAGTTGCTTGAGAAGGATATCATGTTTGGTAAGGTGGAGGATCAGAGAAAAAGAGGAAGACCCCCAATGAGATGGATTGGCCAAGTGGCAGCATCAATGGAATCAAGTGTGGCAACAATTGTGAGGTTGGCTCAGGACCAGGCAGTGTTTTACTCTGTTTTACATAGGGTCTCTACGAGTTGGTACCGACTCAATGGCACCTAACAACAATAACAACAATTCTGGTGTGACGCTGTGAGTTAATGTGCTGTACTGCAAGCTTGGTTTGAACCCAAGGGCTGTGGTTCAAATTCACCAGCTGCTTTCCGGAAACCCTGTACAGGGTCACTATGAGTCAGAACTAACTTAGCAAGGACAACATTTTGAAATTATACAAAGGTGAGTCAAAAAGTTATCTGCACTCCAGTCATATTAAAACAGCCATCAATATCCACGGTTGATGACAACATTGTGGATGCATGGGAAATGATTCTGTCAAATCGACAAATGACAGTGGATATTGTGGCAAATCATTTGCAAAGCAGCTATGGCTCTGTCTATGAAATAATCCACGACAGACTAGGTTTTCAAAAAAATTTGTGTGAGATCGGTAATGAAACAACTTACAGAAGAGCATAAACAGAAGTGTTTAGACATTTGCAAACAAAATATGGACCAATACTTGGAAGGAAGGTAAAAGTTCCTTTTAAAAAATTGTTCTTGGTGATGAGACATGGATTCATTACTGTGAGCCTGAGAGTAAATGGCAGAGTTTGGAATAGAAACACCCTCAACTGCTGACCAAGAAAAAGTTGAAAAGTCAACCATCAGCTGGAAAATTGATGCTTACAGGTTTCCAGGATTCTCAAGGGCCAATATTGGGACAGTATTGGTCTGCTAACTTCAAGGTCAGTAGTTCGAATTTCCAGCTGCTCAATGGGAGAATGATGAGGCTTGCTGCTCCCATAAAAATTTGTTGTTGTTGTTGTTAGGTGCCATCTAGTAGGTACTGACCCATAGTGACCCTATGGCACAGCAGAATGAACACTATCTGATCCTGGGCCAACCTCACTACTGTTGCCACGCTTGAGTCCATCAATGCTGCCACTTGGCCAATACATCTCATTGGAGGTCTTCCTCTTTTTCTCTGACCCTCCACCTTACCAAACATGATATCCTTCTCCAGTGACTGGTCCCTCCTGACAATATGTCTGAAGTATGAGAGATAAAGTTTGGCCATCCTGGCCTCCAAGGAGCACTCTGGCTGCACTTCTTCCAATACAGATCTGTTAGTTCTTTTGGCAGCCCATGGTACTTTCAATATTCTCCTCCAACACCATAACTCAAAAGCATCAATTCTTCTATGGTCTGCCTTATACACTGTCCAACCTTTGCATGCATATGAGGTTATTGAAAATATCATGGCTTGGGTCACACGCACCTTAGTCCTCAAGCTGACACCTTTGCTCTTCAACACTTTAAAAAGGTCTTGGGCAGCAGATTTGCCTAATGCAATACGTTGTTTGATTTCTTGACTGCTCCTTGTTATTATTAAGTGCAGTGGAGTCGGTTCTGCCTCATAGGGACCCTGTACAGGGTTTCTGAGGCTGTATATCTTTACGGGAGCAGAAAGCCTCATCTTTCTCCAGCAGAACAGCTGGTAGTTTCGAACTTATGACGTTGGGGTTCACAGCCCGATTCGTTACCATTAAGCTCAAAATCCTATACAGAGTGTCACTGTGGTTTGGAAATGACTCTACGGCACACAACCACTACCACTATGTGCCAGATACTGTGATTTGCTGTAAGAACGGTTTCTTTCAACAGATTCAAGAAATTGAAGTCTAGTAAGGTTAAATTTTGCAATGTTTCACAAAAAGCAAATGACTGAGCTGAGTTTCAAAACCCCAGGTTTGCCTGGTTCCAAAAGACATGGAATTTAGTGTTGAATGAATGTGAGAGTTAAAAGTCATTTGCATTCATTAAAAGACACTAGGAGTCCTAGTGTGGTGCTGAAGAATAAGTACTGGACCTCAACATCGGTTTGAACTTGAAGTTTGGTCATTCAAACTCACCAGCTGCTCCTTGGTCATCCTACACAGGGTCACCATAAGTGGGAACTGACTTTAGGGCACTTAACAACAGGTATAATTGTTATGGTGCTGTAGGATAAGCACTGTATTGCTAACCTCTAAGAGTTGGAACTGACTTGACAATACTTAACAAGGCTAATGGTTGGTGGTCAATAAATGTTACTCACTAAATACACACACACACCTGCCCAGGAATTGGGTGTATTTGATCAGGAAGGATTGAAAAAAAAAATTACTTAATTCATCATACTCTAAGAAAAGCGTTTATTCTAATTATCGTAACTCTAGAAGATCCTTCATTTTGAGAGTATTTTTGATCAGGTAACAATTTAAAATCACTTTCAAAAGAGAAGAAAAAAGGTAGTTGAAAGCTATCTTCATTTGGCAGTAATCAATAATTTATTCCTGTAAACCAGCATTTTTTCGTACCTACGTGTTTTTTACCACTAGGAACAAAGGTTTCTGATTCACAAAGAACTCTCTGCAAGGTAAACTGAGCGAAAGCAGGAGGGATCGCTCTCTCCCCATCTCTAAATCTTTTCTTTTAGGCCCCCCAGAACCTGCCTCTAGGCGGAAAGCAACACAGTGTCATCGCTGAGCAAAGTGGAGCAACCCAGGCTCACTTTGACTATTACCAAAAACGCTTTGTATAGAGCACAGGCGACAAAGGAAACAAAACGCTCAACACAGCTGGGCCGAACCGCAGGGCTGAGGACCAGCCGCAGCTTCCCCTTCAGGCCCTACTCCTCCGCTGGCCACACCTGGCGGCGGGCGGCGCGGGACCCTGGGCCGTGACGTCACCGCACCTGGCATCGGCCCGGGGGCCCAGAGGAGAGTCCGACCACGCGGGGGCGGGGCGGGGAAGGGGTGCGGAGAGAACAGGCCAGTTATCGCGAGACTTAATTTCTCCTTTGCCCCACTCTCGGCACCTTCCAGGCATCTGCCTGGGGTCTCCCGTTCAGATTTAGGCGTCGCGTCCCGGTACAGTGGGCGTTGAGGGAGAAGCGTGGGCCGGGGTCCCTGGCTGGGAGGGCGTACTGGATTGGAACAGCCAGGGCGAGTCGCCAGGTTCCTAAACCTGATCTGCGGAGGCGACCCGGCTGGAAAGCCACCATTTGGGCGGCCAGGGAAGGGCCCTCCGACCGCCGTGGCTTCGGCGGAGACTGGGCGTAAGGAGCTGCGGTCACCGCCGCTTCTCCTCGGGTGGCGCGGACGGGACTGGCCGGGGAGCGCCGCAAGGCGGATGGAGGCTCCTCCTGGCCCCGCCTGAGCTCGGGAGGGGCGAGACGGGGTGCCGGTCCCGCCTCCTGCCGCCGGAGCGGCCGCGCGAACTGCTTGCCGGAGGAGGAGCAGCGGCGCCGGGCTTCTCCCCGCGGGAGCCCCCAGCATGGGTAAGAAACTCGGGAACGTTCCTCGCCGCCGGGACTCTCCCGACCGAAGGAGGCGGGTCCTCTTTTCGGACTTTGCTAGGAGGGCACCGGGATCTCGGCGCCACCCCACCCTCGCCGGCGCCTCGCTCTACCTTCCACCTTGCTCTTCTGGAGAGAACTTGAGCGTAGGGCTCACTGGTGTTTCTGGAGCTCCCCTCCCCGCCTCGTTGGCCGCGAGGAAGCGTTGGGGGCGGCGGCCGGTCCTCGCCCCCTGCTTTGCTGAAATGGCCTTGGGCTCCCCTCCCTTCCCGAGCCCCTTCCATCCCCGACGTCCGATGGGGGAGGGTGATGGAAAAACTTGACGAAGTTGCGCTTTCAACTTCTTGATCGTTGCGAGACTTTTCAGATTTATTTTATTGTTAGAAAAATCAGGTTTCCTTTTCCCCCTCCAGTGCCACAAGTTCCAAGGGATGCCGCAAGGATAAGGAGCCTTGAGTATTTTTACTCTGGTGGTTCATCCTAGACAAGTATATTGGCACTTTAAATATTAAATCTCCTTTGGATTCGGCTGGCTGGAGTTTGGTAGGATTTCAGTGTTGAACCCTTTGAGGAGCAGTTTCCTGTTTGGAGTTAAGACTTCCTTGCTGGAGGAGAGAAAAGTACAAGGTCTTATTTACTATGCGTTTTAAAGTTTTGAGGCTAGAGAATGTAGAATGCATTTACAGGCTGGTTTGAAAAGGAGTTTTGTTGAGTAATGTAACAATTCATCTGATAACCGAGTTCGTTGTGGGCTGGGCACTAAACTCCCTCAATCCTTTTAAGAATTAGAAGCACTTTAATAAAGAATGGCTTTAACAACAACAACAAAAAATCAAATTAACGCCATTTACTAAGCAGATCATGTATTGTAAGAATATGTAACTTTGGCTGGAGGAGGACGCTCTCCCTTTTTGCAGTTGAGGAGAGTTGGTACGCCTCATATCATCAAACCATTAACCAAAATTAATAATTCATGAAACTAACGAATGGTTGAGAAGCAGGATAAATACAGAGTACTGCTGATGTGGCACCTTCTGCCCACACATTTTAGTGGGGGATGCTTTGGGCGTCATGTTTATAGATACTTGTGTAGCTAATCTCTGTTTTCTTAGCCTTTCTACTTTTATGTGCCTCTCTCCCCACAGTTGTAGGAAGGTAACCTTTCTACACACAATTCACTTTGAACATAGAAACAATAAAGCTTTTGCTATTTGGAACTTTTAAATTAATAACTTTTCTAATTGATTTGTTGGCTAATTGGATACTTGAGGCTTATTCCTTGAGAGCATCAAGTTACACAGTCATTTTAGCTGCTTTGAGTGAAAATCATACAAAAATTAAATATACAGTTCTTTTCTGGCCTGATTAAGATGCAGACCACAATTTGTGACCTTGGGTCATTAAAAGACAATCAGTTACTGTGTTGTCATGAGGAGGATCTGTTGGGTTATAAGACTGTTAATCTTGTATTTTGAAGTTTTATATATATATATATATTTGTATGTACATACACATACATATGTGACACTGTGGGTTAATGAACTGGACTGCGAAGTTGGTTTGAACTACAAGTTCTGTGGTTCAAGCTCACCAGCTGCTGCTTGGAAACACTATACAGGGTCGCTATGAGTTGGAACCAACTCAGTGGCACACAACAAACAACATATATATGTGTATATACTCAAGGTTAGCAGTTCCGCAGGAGAACGATGAGGCTTTCTGCTCCTGTAAAGATTTACAGCCTCGGAAACCCTGTACCAGGGTCACTGTGAGTAGTAATTGCTTTGTTGTATTTTGGTTACATGAGTTGCCAGATAGTCTTAGGGAATGTTAGCATGCTCTGCATTTAACTGCGCAGAATGTGTTTGTAGATCTATATTACTTGGGAGCATTTGTAATAATGTTCAAGAAATATTTATCAAACATTTTTGTTTGTTGTTGTTAAGTGCTGTGGAGTCAGTTTCGACTCATACTGACCCTGTATAGCGTATCCATGGAGGGACTGGGGTGTTTGAACCACCGACCTTGCTGTTTAAATTGACCTTGCAGTCTAGTGCTTTTCTGCAGTGACATACCAGGACTCCAATGTTTTTTTAAGAATGTGTAATTTGAATTTCTCAGTCATGTACTCATTTTGTATTAAAATTATCAAATTATTTCAAAGAGGGTTTCTTTTTTAATATAAACCTTGTTTGCTTTTCTTTATTATTGTTACTGTTAAGTGCTGTCTTGTCAGTTCCCACTCAAAACAACCCTGTGTAAGGTTTCCAAGTAGTGGCTGGTGGGTTTGAACTGTTGGCCTTCTGATTAGCAATCCAGTGCTTATCTTACAATACAGACCAGTACATGACTAACAACTTCAAATTACTCAGTCTTACAAAATGTTTGATAAATATTTTTGTTAGTCTTTATTTCTTGTGATTTAAGCTTATAGCTTAAAATGTTTATTATTTGATCTAGTTTATCACAAAATACAAAAATCTTTAATCTCTTTGGTTTGAAATAGCATGGCTACTTAATAAGTGATAGATGTTCCTTTGAGGCTGTGCTGCTAGAGAATTTAGAGCCTGGGAAATTGGGACAATCTGAGGTCAGATCCTGGCTCTTCCACCTTCTGGCTGTGTGACTGAACAATTTACCTTCTCTGTGCTTCTTTTCCTAATATGTAAATGAGATGTGGTGCTTGGGCTGATGCATCTGAACTGCAAGGTCCAAGGTTGAAGCTCACTAGCTGCTCCTCGGTAATCCTATACAGGGTAGCTATGGGTCAGAATCGACTCGACGGCACTTCACAACAACAACAACATGTGTTAGCTGCCTTTGAGTTGATTGCAACCCATGGCAACCTCCTCTGACCCCATGTGTGGAGAGCAGACTGGAAGTGTTGCTCCACAGGTTTTTAAGACTGTGCCCTAAAGGGAGCAGATAACCAGGCCCCTGTGGCGCTGTGGGTTAGTGCAGTGGATGGCAAAGTTGTTTGAACTGCAAGGTAGGTAGTTCAAACTCACCAGTTGCTCCTCGAAACACTATGAGTTGGAACCGACTTTATGGCAGTTAACAGCAACAAACCTTTCAAGGCGCTCCTGGGTTGTACTTGACTGCTCCAACGTTTGTGTTGCCTTTGGGCTGGTCATAGGTTGTTGTTGGAGGTGGTGGGTGGTGGAGTCTGTTCCAACTCATAGTGAGCCTGTAGGTACAGGGTTTCGGAGGCTGTAACTCTTTACGAGAGCAGAAAGCCTCATCTTTCTCCCGTGGAGCTGCAGGTGGTTTCAAATTGCTGACGTTAAGGTTAGCAACCTGACTCATAACCACTACACTCCCAGAGTTCCTTAGGTTATTAGGAGAATTGAATAAACTAATATTTGTAAAGTGCTTAAAACAGTGCCATGCTGGTTGTGGTTGTAGTGGTGGTTTTAATTTTCAGATATTTTCCTGATTTACCAAGTGGAAAAGAAATTCTCAAAGTTTGACCTTTACTAGAAGCAGGTATTGTTTTTAATTGTACAGTGAGATGAGATGATTTTGTATTGATGTGGAATTTTATGGTGCTGCAGGATAATGTGCATTGGTCTGCAAGGTTGGTTTGAACCACAAGGTCGGTGGTTCAAACTCACTAGCCACTCCTCAGAAAACCCTATACAGGGTCACTGTGAGTTGGAACTGATTGGACAACACTTAACAATAGCAACAATATAACCACATAGAACTTAGTATAAGGAAGAACTTAAGTAGGAAGAAGGTAGTTTTTGATTTTATCAGTTTTGAATGTATTGTGAGAAAGCTCATTATATGGTGCTGTAGGATCAACTCTAGACTACTAACCACAAGGTTGGCAGTTCAAATCCACTAGCCGCTCCTAGAAAACCCTATATAGGGTCGCTATGATCAGAACTGAATCGATGACACTTAACAACTGCTAACCCAAAGGTCAGTGGCTTGAAGGCACTAGCACCTCCAAGGAAGAAAGATGTGGCAGTTTGCTTCCATAAAGAGTTTTGGTATTAAGTGCCGCCAAGATGGTTCTGACCGTAGCAACCCTCTGTAAGGTTGCTGAGTTTGAACCACCAACCTTGAGGTTAGCTGTCCAGTGCTTATCCTACAGTGCCACACCAGGATGAAGATAGCTTTGGAAACCCTATGGGTAGTTCTACTCTCTTCTGTTGGGTTGCTATCAGTTGGGTGGCAGTGGGTAGAGCATGAAAGAGGCAAGTTTTGTCTTGAATTTGAATCATTAATAAATCTAATAATTAGTTTTATGCTTTAATAAATGCTCATGACTAGATTTTCCCGAGTATTTCAAAGCTTAACATCATATTTAAGGGCAATAATTGATATTCACAGTATTTGACAGTTTTGTATGAAAATCACTGAAGTTTGTCATGTTGTTGTGTGCCCTTGAGTCAGTTCCGACTCAGCAACCTTATATAGGGTTTCCGAGGAGTGACTGATGGATTTGAACAACTGATCTTGAAGTTAGCAGTCCAGTGCTTATACTATAGCACCATGCCAGTTTGCCATACATTTCTTTAAATGAGGAGTTGGCAAAGTAATGTCACATTAATTTTATAAGATTGTTTTACTTTTTAAGGCATTAAAAAAATAAAAGTTTTAGACGTGTTTTAATCTCAGTTCATGCTTTATTGTCAATCAAAAATATTCCTCAACTTTTATTTATGTATAATCCAAGTTTTTGCTCCTTCCTCCAGCTCTATCATGGAATATCTTCTTCCTCTACAGTTAAATGTATTTTGATTATTATAAAACTTTTTAAATTCATATTTGCACATATACACATGGTGGGAGGGTTTCAAATTGTTTTGGGGAAATGGAATGAAAAGATAATGGACATAATCTGCCTATCTTCAAGCCCATATATGGTGTCCTTGTGTCCAGGGCTTAAAGATTTGTGTGATAATCAGGCCTGCTGATGCAAGGAGAGATCAACAACTCTTGGCCTCCTAGAAAAACTGGTGAAGCAAGTT